TTAGTAAAGTTAAGTATTTAACAACTATCAGCCCATATAAATCTAAAAAAATACTCAAAATATTTTTTACGAACCTATTGATTTATACATAAGAATTAAGTAGGATCAAAGGGGTATTTTTTAGAGGCTATTATGTTATATGCTGGTGAAGTCAATTATCTTACACAATTTTGTCAAGAATATCAAGCACTGAAAGCTTCTGAAAATTGGCAAGGAATCATAGATCTTGGCTTAAAAGCTTTAGGTAATAGTCGGATGATTGAGAAAAATTCAGCACTTATTCAGAACAGGCTTGCAAGTTGTTACTACTATCTTGGTGATCACGATGAAGCCTTGAAGTATGCAAACAACGCTTATAAAAGTGCCGTTCAAGCCAATGACAATGGATTAAAAGCTAGAAGTTTATATCTATCTTCAGCTATATATAGAATGCTAGCCTTAAAAACAGCAGGAAAAAAGAGAAAGAAGTACGAGGACTGTTCACAAGTGAATATCAATGCAGCACTTAAATTGTTGCGTGATCATTCTGATATTAGTAATGTTGTTAAAGCTAAAGTATATTTCAACGATGGAGCATTAAAGCATGATCTAATGAAAGATTTTGACGCTGCCATAGAGCGCTATTCACAAGCTGAAGAATTATTCAAAAAAGAAGAACTTTGTGATGATGATATTAATCGTACTATAATGCGACGCATCAGAGCTGATGTAGAAAGTGGAAAAAAAATACAGCCTGATAAGTTGATATCTGAAGTACAAGCTTTAAATATAGACAAAGAAACTAAAACAGGTGTCCATCAGTCACTACTATTGAGCAAGTTACTAATAGAATGTGAAAATATAGACGAAGCACTTATATGCGCACAAGAAAGCTTAGAGGTTGCACAAAAAAAATCTATGTCAACAGAAGTTAGGATGTTAAACAAAGTTATTTATTGCATAGAAAGAGGTTATTGTAAAACTGCGAATCAACAACACTCTAGTGAAGCAGAAAGAGAATCATATCCTGTTGTAACTCAACAACCGCAATCTTTCTTGAGTGAGGCAGAAAGGGTGCTAGATCAAGCTATAAATCAANAAGAAACTAAAACAGGTGTCCATCAGTCACTACTATTGAGCAAGTTACTAATAGAATGTGAAAAAATATACGAAGCACTTATATGCGCAAAAGAAAGTTTAGAGGTTGCAAAAAACAAATCTATGTCAACGGAAGTCAGGATGTTGAACAAAGTTATTTATTCCATAGAAGGAGGTTATTGTAAAACTGTGAATCAACAATACTCTAGTGAAGCAAAAAGAGCAGTTATAACTCAACAACCGCAATCTTTCTTGAGTGAGGCAGAAAGGGTGCTAGATCAAGCTATAAATCAAGATCAAGAAGTTGCAAAAAACAAATCTATGTCAACGGAAGTCAGGATGTTGAACAAAGTTATTTATTCCATAGAAGGAGATTATTGTAAAACTGTGAATCAACAATACTCTAGTGAAG